TTTGGCATCTTCCATCTTGGAGAGTGAGCCTGTCAATATGGAGGTGGAGGGCCTTATTCTTGTCCTTTGGCCTTGAGAGCCTCCTTGCCATCCTTAATGAACAGTAAGTACAAACCCTAAACCTCAATGGCTGGCTAGGAAAATATATGACAAGTGTCAGATATCAACAATGCAGGTTAGGACCCAGAAATTCACCCAATATTGCATTTACAAGTTAAGTTTTTTCCCCCCAAAGGTGGACTTGGATTCTGAAGCGGATTCTGAAGCAAATGCAGAAGAGGATGAAGTCGGAGAGTTAGCTTTATGGACTTCAGATGTGAAACTGATTGAACTGAATAAGGGTTCAAAAGGTTTAGGTTTCAGCATCCTGGACTACCAGGTATTTAGCAATTCCTAAAATACGTATATTGTTCTAATGACGCACAAACTTTAACTTCTAGGTTGTGTCCAAGAGCTTTTTAAACAAATTTTGAAGTCTGGATGAGAGATATTTAAGAACATTTATTTGAAATTCTGCCCATAACACAAGGTTATTATCGACATCTGTTATATTTCTGGTACTAAGCGTTAATTTAATAATGCAATACCAAGGAATTATTTTTCGGTTTTAGATTTTGTTAGTCTTTTTGGTTTTTAATTTCTCAGTTCTTCTATATTTAGAAAGTAATTTGGGGTATTCTCATAAATGCTATTGCAATATCCTCGGAAGTGGGAATTTTCAATTTTTTGTAACGTTGAGACCAACCCCTACTTAGGACATTTTTATATGCTGTTACTGAGTGTGGCAGTTGATTTTCTTGCTTGATTCTGTCAGCTAATATATTAGGTCTCCATAAAATCATAAGAAATAGGAACAGGAGTAGGCCTTTCAAGCTTGCTCCGCCATTCAGTGGGGTCATGGCTGATCTGACATTCCTGATGTCCACTTTGTGTGTTTTCCCCGCAACCCATGATTCCCGTACTGATTAAGAATTTGTCTATCTCAGCTTCCACTTGTTGAAGGTATGCAACAAATAAACCCAAAATGTTTAAAGGTTGGGCTTGTGAATGTAATAACATCCCTTAATTTTTCCAAGTGTATGGGACCACATATTTCTCCCTTTTGGAAAATAAGTTTCTAACAAAAGAAAAGACATAGGTCCTGCTGATCAACTATCAATTTGAAGAAGTATCATCTTCTGACAGAAAACTGTGTGTCATCATTGCTAAATTCAAAAGAATTGTGAACGACAACTTAACCCACCTATGTGATCTTCAGAATTTTGTTTTCCGTTTGGGTTATAAATAGGAGTGGATGTCAGACACTGCTATACATCTGACAACCAGGAGTGTTTTGCAATTTGGAAAGGTCACGTAATGCAGGTTTAAATTGTACAAAGCATTGTTGCTTTAGGAGTAATGAAATGGTTACATTACTGAGACAGAGTGATGCTAGGAGTTTTTGAGTTAGTGAAAAACTGCCTGATGACAGCTCCTGGATTGGTTGAACTGCAGTTACGCACTGATGGAGACAGTGCGGCCAAATCATCCAGAGTGTGCAAGCAGAAAACAGCTTTCACTCTTCTCTGTTTGAGTGGAAAGATCAAAATGAAAACAAGAAATTCAAAAGAATTCTAATACCAAAAAGACCTAAATCCACCTGATTAGCTATCAAATTGACAGACCTTCGCTTGACAGAAAAAGGCATTCATTATTGCTAAATTCAAAAGAACCGAAAAACAACTTAATCCACCTGTGTGATCTGGATGTTTGATCCTCAAAATTTTAGTTTCCCTGTTAAATTTTTTTCCATCCGTAATACTTGCGTCGAACCAATTGCCTTTTATTTGGCAAATTTGCGAATGAGGGGATGTGCATGTATAGGGTTTAAAGGTGTATAATTTAGTGGTAGAATATTAATCCTTCCATTTTTCTGTCATTTCTTAAAGAAGTGTATTTACAATAAATAGACTTCTTTTCCTGTTAATGAGGAATAGACAAGGAATAGTATGTCAGGTAGTGATACTGTCCAAATATCATCAGGAGATATTTCGGAACTGAACATGAAATTCCTTTGGCAGAACATATAGAAGAGCAGAAAACAGGATAAGTAGGCATTTTGCCTGTCCAAGGCATCATAAGGATGCCAAAACATGTGGTACTTGTCAGGTTGTTGGTAAACATGTGATCAAACCATATCAGTTTTTGAAGAACCGGTCAGTTACAGAAAAGGTAACTCTTTGTATTTCAACTATTAATCTCTAACGAGTTAAAATCAGACCAAAATTTGAAAATTTATGACCCAAGTTTTTCAGGACTTAATAAGCAGTTTGGTTACAAACAGTTAAAGTTCACTGCTTATCATTCGCAAAAACACGCAACTTTAGAGAGATACTGTCAGATTCTCAAAATTGTGATTAAAGCCTTTTGTCATAATTACATAGGATTAGGATAAAGGATTAGATTTCTTACTCTTTGCTACCAGAATTGCTTTCCCCAATTGAATCTACATGATTTGGTCTGTTCAAATTGATCAATGGTCATGTGGTAAGAGGTCCATTAAAATTGATTGAGTAAAGGTTTGCAAGGTAAAAAGATTGGATTACATGTCCAGTTTCCAGAGTGACCCAAATGGGCATTCAAAGTAGCATTTCGAGCCTTCACAATCAAAGATGAAGGAAAGGCAGCCATTCTACAACTGGAATGTTTCATATGGGAGATGAAGCGTTGGTGTTATCACCTTTTTATATGTTGGGCTTTTTGAAAGTGAGAATGAGTTGTCCATACAAAGTAATTTGGAAGGTTAGTAAAGTTACTTATTTGGTAGATGCTCCTGATGACAGAACCAATTTTTATTCCTGTCGCATGAGCATGTTAAAATGATTTCCATGTAGGGAGAGGCATAACAAAGAACAAGGTTGTAAGAATGGTGCAGCATTTTCAGGACAGTGAGAGCGAGGTAGAAGAAGAATTATATAAATCACAGAGTGAACCTCCTACAATCTAACTAGCCAATACTAAAATACCTGGAGAGTTACATTACATATTCACATTGTTGAGGAAAGATCTAGGAAGATTACTTATGAAATTCAATGAAATATGTAGAGTTACATCTTGATGTACTATGTTAGCTAGGCATGATAATTTAGGGGAGTCAGTACCAATAAAACAAACATCCTTATCAGTTCAGCCCAAAAAGTCAAGCTCAAAGCCAAATGGAGATTCACTAGATGCTGGAAAATCATCAGGTTGAGCCTAAGCAAAGCAGTTGCAGTTCACTAGTGGTGTTAATTCCTAAACTAGATGGACTAAGTAGATTCAGAATGGAGTACAGAAACATAAGAGTAATAAGAACACCCTTCGGGTATCTCATTCCTTTCTGAAATGAAGATGTACTGACAAGTGTCATTTACATCAAAAGCTAAAGAGATATTAACCTTGGTTACACCAGATGAGTTATATCAATGTGGATGGATATTGCTTGTGTTCATAAAATCCCCCAACTGCTTTTCAAAAACTTAACGGATCAAGTTATATCTGAAGTGCCTGACTCTAGTTTATTTAGATAATGTTGTAATATCCAGTAACACACGGGAGGAACACGTAAGGCAAGTAGAGGACCTGTTTAAGGAATTATGCTAGCTGACTTTCTAATAAATATCAGCAAGAGAATTTGCAACATTGAGATGAACCTACTTTGACCACTGGCAGGACGAGGGCAAGTGTTGCCAAGAACAACAGAAATGGAGCTGTGATTGAATTCTCTGTTATTAAAAGTAAATGGTAAATCGTGAGTTTTCTTGTAATAGGTGAGTTTATTCAGAGGTTTGTGCCTAACTTCAGCAGAATAACTATACCGCTGAATAGACTTGTAATGAAAACAGGCATAAGTGGTACGGTCAGCAAAGTGCCAAGCGGCTTTTGAAAAGCTAAAGGCAATCAAAATAAGTGAACCCGTGTTGGTAACCCCTGACTTTACGAAAACTTTTAATACCGCATTTGATGCGAATGGCTTGAGGGTAGGTGCAATCTTACTGTAGGCTAATGAATCGGGAAGAGAGATGCCAGTAGGGTACTTTTCTAAGATATTAACCCAATGTCAGAAGAAGCACTCTACAGTGAAAATGAGACTTTGAGATTATTATTGAGCTGTCAATATTTTGAGGTCTGTGTCCTCTATAGTTGCAAAGAAACTAATATACACTTAGTAATCACTCAGCTTTAGTACAGAAATTTAAGACTTGAAGTGTGAGATTGTTCCATTGGAGTTTATTGATTTAACTATTTAGTGTAAAAATTGTTGACATTGCTAGGAAGGTTGCATTCTTCATTCTTGATCTGCAATTGTGCTGCAAATGTTTAAGAATTCAGGGGGAAAATTACAATAAATGATTAAAGTCCTGCATTAGGTATAAGCAAGTGTGGAAAAATGCACATGCATTTTTTTCTGCTGTTTTGCATGTGTTATGTTTACCTGGTTAAGAAACACATTTAAAATGGTGTTTTGTCCCTTTTAAAGGGAAAGCATGTAAGGGGGGATACATTTTTCCTTTTTGGACCTTAAACTGGAACAGAAGTCGGACACTGCTGAATTGGTGAAAACCTGGAGATCTCGGAATTTGGGAAAATCAAGTGATACACATTTTTAGCTGTACAAGAAAATGTTGCTTTTGGAGCAGTGAAGATGTTATATGATGGAGTCAGAGTGACATCAGGGTTTTTTTTTGAATTAAGAAAATACTACTTGACAACAACCCTTGGACTGGTTGAGCTGCACTTTGTTCCAGATGGGTGGAAGCAATGCAGTCAGAACCATCCAAAGCTAGCAGAAAAAAATTTTTCTCCTTTCTCTTTGTGTGAGTGGAAAGGTTAAACAAAAACAAAAAACTTAAAAAAAATTCTAACACAGGAAAGATCTCGGTCAACCTGATCAACTGTCAGTTGAAAAATGACCATTATTTTACAAACAATAGTGTAACATCACTTATAATATTGAAAGAATTGTGAGGGGCAACTTAACCTACCTCTGTAATCTGGATTTTTCAACTTGTTTTACCGTTGTATATTGCTCCACTCATAATAATTATGTCAAATCACCTGTCTTTCTCTGATTTTTGGGAATGTGTATGCAGGCGTGTTTGGGATTTGAAAAGGTATAGTTTAGGTTTTAGATTAGTACTGCTTGTGTTTATTTTTCATTTGTTAAACGATAATCCTGTTTATAATAAACTATTAGCTTTCTGTTAATGATGATACCTGGTGCAAATTGCTTTTGTCCTGAATAAGAATCGATCAGGTATATTGATCATTGTTGTGGTTTAAGTTGGGTATTTACTCATTTGCCTTGACTTATGGAACAATGGGGCTGGGTTATCAGCACACGTGTCCCAGTAGTTAAGA